ATATTCATGGAACTAGAAATCTTTTGGATTTTGAATTTTCAGATTTTACAGTATTTTTCACATAATAGTGAAATATCTTACAAATGGGACCAAAGTGTAATCATAGAATTATTTATATTTCTTATACATCCTAAACATATGGCCTAAGGGTAATTTTACAGGACATTTCTAGTGCACTATATTTTTACATTAAATCAGGTATACAATTATCTGTCCAGTTTTGGTGTGCTGTTGGTGTCCTCTAAGTTTTGAATTTTGGAGCATTTTTAAATTTTGCTTTTTTAAATTAGGAACATTCAATGTGGAGTAACACTTTAAAGTCTTCTTACAAATCCTAAAGAATAACAAAATACAAAAATGCATTTTCATGTATGATGAAATGATGTGGAATTTATACACATAGACACATTAAGTCGATCCTTATTTGGCTTTAGGCAGTTTGGTAAGTTTAGCTGTTTTTTACAGGGTAAAAAGAGAAGAATTTAAAATGGGAAGTCCCAATGCATGACCCCAGTACTGGAGAATGCTGTCACCTGAGCAGTCCACCTACATTCCCAGATGGATGCCTGGGGCCAAGCAATCTCTATTTATTGGGAGGAGCACTTGACTTCTACCCAGTCAGAAGCTTATGTACTAAGAGATGTTTCCTTTTAACCCTATCTTTAAGTTAAGATTACTCTCTTGGAGGATATCCTGCCTTTTTAGACATCCACCAAGGAAACAGCAGCCACTCTGCTGCTCCCCAGGGGTGTCCCTGCGAGTGGGTGCATCCTGGGGGTCCTCCGGACCTGTGGTGAATTTTCAGGCCCACAAAGCACACTGTGTTCCTCACAGGGCTTTTGTAGGTGGTTTGAGAAAGGCTCATGTTGGTACAAATGTCATTTAACAATTCTCCTTAGCACCTGTTCTTCTTAAAAGGAAGTTTCCTGTCCATTTCATCGTGCATAAGACTGAAGTAAAGTGGTTGCACCAGAGTTATCAAAGGCAATACTTGAGTTATCTCCAACAGCCAGCAGGGAGAGATTGGTGTGTTCGAGGCCAGAATAGGTTATTAGCCCACTCCTCCACTAAACAGCTGTATGGATCTGGGAAACAGGTGATTTATTCTTGTTTTTTAGGTGAGAAACTGAGTCACAGGCCAAACTAATAGTTTGGCCATAACTACAAAGATAATAATTAACAAAATGAATGTTGAATCCCAGTGTTCATGATACCAAAAACTAAATTTATTTTAGCAAATTAATTTCCACAGGCTAGATACCCTTATCCAAAAAAATGAGAAAAATATACTTCTGTTATGTTTTAATTATGACAACATTATGTACCATGTAACATGCAGGGCACAAAATAGACCCACAAGAAATGGTTCATTACTCTATTTATTATTATTGTACATTAATGAGAATATTTGTCTTATTTCAATTCTCTTCATTAAGCTACAATTTATTCTTTCCTACAATGTTTGATTATGGTACAATTCAGGTAATAACATTCAGCAGTTCTAAGTGTCCAATTCAGGGCCATGTGACACACTGTGCAGCCCTCACAGGCATCATCTCCGGGATTGTTTTCTTCTGTCCAAACTGAACCTCTGCAATCATCAACTCTCCATCGGACTTGTCTCCCAGCCCCACCTAACGACCACTCTACTTTCTCCTGTTGTTAAGATTGTGACAGTCTAAGTACTTCATGCAGTTAAACCCAGTATTTTTTGTGCTTATTGATGATTCAGAATAGTAGATTTCATTGTAGCACTTTCATATATGCATACAATACGTCCGAATAGTATCTAACCTCCTTCTATCATGGTCTCTTATTCCTTAAATAAGAGCTTCACACAAAATGAAGGATTCTGAGACAAGTGTCAGGAAAGAGAGCTGCTGTGCTGGGCTTTCAGGATCATCCTTAGCACTTCCAGGGGAGAATATTTTTTTCCTCCATTAGTGAAAGCTGTACTCTAAGACAGGCAACATTGTACAGTGGGAGTGGCTAAGAGGACACAGTTGAACTGAACTTACCTGTTTAAGAGTCAAGGCTGTCTGCAACCGTTTCCTCCCTAGGGCTGGATCTGCATTCCTGACTTGGCTCTTGGCAGCCCTGGCACCTTGGCAACAGACCAAATTGAGCCACATTTCAGTGCATGCAAAAGCTGTCCATGCCTGGCCTCTGGCTCTGTTGAAAAGGCATTGTGAGGTCATCTACCTGATCAAATTTTGGCTGAGAAAACTTCCTTCTTTTTAATTATCACAAATAATAAAATAAATTAATATTTAGTTTGTGGTGCACTGACTGTGGGAGCACAGAATTCCTACATTGAAATCCTAACCACCAAGGTGACAGTGTTAGAAGATGAGGCCTCTTGGAGGTAATGAGGTCATGAGAGCAGAGCCCTCATAGATAGGGTTGGTGCTCTTAGAAAAGAAAATGGAAAGCTCCATTTTCCTCTTTCTACCGTGTGAGGACACAATGAGAAACCAGCTCCTGGAACCCAAAAGGGGGCTGTGTTCAGAAACTGCCCACATTGGATCACCTTTATTGGACTTTGAGCTTCCATAGCTTTAAAATATAAACATCTGTTGCTTATATTCCACTTAATTCATGGTAATTTATTATTGCAGCCTGGGAATAAGGCATAGTTTAAAATTGTAAATATTTAGAAATGGCACATGCCCCCCATATTATATATCTGCTTATTTTAAGCTCTACTTTCTCCTGTAATTCATAGGTTTAAAGTAAATACAGATGTGAAAAGGATTCATAGTCCTCTGATGACTTCTCATTTTACTCTATGATTATGTTGTGCTACTATAATTGAGCTTAATAAGAGATAGGAAGGGAAACTAATACTTTTGTTGAGTACAAGAGTAGTGTTTTAAACTCTTTTGAAGGATGAGAAATCTCAGAGATAAAAAGGGAATTATTTACTTACTGCCTCTCAGTACTAATTAAGACAATTGGAATTTGAAGCCAAGCCTGTCTTGCCAAAGCCTACAACATCAATCCTTTGAGATTACAAATTATTTCAAATATTTCTTTTAAAATAATTGATTTTTTTGAATTATATTTTTCTTTCGGGGGGACATCTCTAAAGCTCTCCATAAGTCACCTGCAGATAATTTATTCAAGCCCAGAGCTCCTCAGCAGGGCCAGAACTAGCATTTAAACTTATTTCCAGTATAATTCACTCACAAATAACTTCTGAGTCCTTAGGCTAAAGAAAACAGTGTTGTCTTGTCTCCACCTCCCTGGAACTGATTCCCTGTGATACATGTCCCATTTTCCATAAATTAGAAAGTGATTAAATTCTGTTCTATTTTTTCACAAAATAAATTTAAAAGAAAACAAGAAGGGGATAAAGATATATGTATGGCAACTTTGCAGAGGTCCCTAGTGACCATGTATTCTGCTGAACTGGTTTGCATGCATTGTTTCCTTTGATCCTCCTCATCTGTGAAGGCTTTGGTTGGGTTTGGAGTCCCAATTTTCATCTGCAAAACTAAAGATCACAGTGTTTAATTTATTTCAGGTCACAAAATTTGGTAATGAGCTTTTATGGGATTTGAACCTGGGTTTCCCTGGCTCTGATGTCCACACATCCTTCCCATATTCCATGGCATCGAGCCTCTTTCTGTAGATCTCTCCAGCTTCTTCACCCCTTCATCTGACTCCAAATCACATTCCTCCCCACTTCCTCATTTAGCAACTCTAACAATGATCACCGGGGTTCTAAGCTTGCCAAAGCTAATGGCATTTATCTATCGCTGTCTGAATCTCTCAGCTTTTAATGACTGCACTTTCTCCTGATGAAACATTGTAGTTTCTGGTTTCCAATTACATAATTCATTTCATTTCTCAATGGTCACTTCTAAAATCCCTTTGTCTGGCTTTTACTTTTCAGTCAGTCCATTCTCCCCAGCTCTAATTTCTATTTATGTTCACACCCTAGGTAATCTCAACACACATCCAAACAAATCTCTATCCCTATGCATAGATATCCATGTACACATGCACGTATTTCCCAGGTGTTCTGCACACCAGGCTGCTCCTGATCTGTCACTGGCCTGTCATCTACACTTAATGCTTATTTGGAATTTAACAGAATCTCACATTCTCAATCTTCATATCTATCTTTCTCAATTTTTAGCTGTCATTTCCTAAGATAAAATCCAAATTCTGCTACCATCCATTCATTGTGTAAGTCAAAAACCTAATCTTTCCAATTCTTTCCTCCTTTTCATATATACCTTCCAATTCATTGCCTGGTACCTTTGATTATAACTGAACTCAGCTACTCTCCTTATTTCTGCTGATACTACAGTCCTGGTCTAAACCAGTGTCATCTTCCCAGATTTCTGAAATGACCCTAACTGTTCTGTTTGCTCCCTGATGATCCATTCCCTACTTAGCCATTAGCTGATTTTTAAGAGGATACATCCGATAGTTACCTCTTCTGTCTGAAACCCTGGTAGTTTTTAATTTCTGCATGTTGACCAAGTACCTATACATAAAAGTTATAACAAATACAACATGAAGTAGGTTCTGCTTCATAGAAGCCCATGTTTGGATTTTCAAACACAGTCAGTGGGGGTCAAGGTCCTCCAAGGAAAGAAGGTGCTGACAAGGTGAGGTAAGAGATGCAGCTGCTGTGGTTGCTGATGAAGCTTGAGAGAGGCTGCAGGTTCCTGTGGGAGGCTGGAGCCAACCGGCTCCAGAACCCCGAAATTCACTTCATACCACATCCAAGAGCTTGCTCCTGTACACTTCTGAGCTAGAAGTGCAGTCTAGGATAACTCAGCCAAATGATGAGAGGGCCCAGGATGGCATTTTAGCTATATCAGAATCAATAAACCCACGGAGTAAGAGTTTCATGTTTCTCCAGCAAACCCACAGGTCATGTTGTCTGGAAGTTAATGGACTAAGGAAAAAATGGAGCTCAGGGACTAATTGTTTGATTCTTTCATTAATCCAAGAACCACACAGAAAGACACATTTGTCTTCCACATAAAATCATACAAAAGTCTCTCTTTATTAAATATACATTATTTACAGTTTATGTCTTTCTTCTGTACAACAATAACCATAGAAAACAAAGAAATCTAAAACTAACTTTAATTTTTTCCATACAGTGTATTAAGACATGTTATGTGACCTACAAAATTGACTTGGAATGAGACAACATCACTTAGGTCTCTGTTACAGGAACAAAAATTAGAAGATCCAAAGGGAAACTCCAGCAGATCCACATAGGAGACGATCTATTTTGCTTTTTTGTGCTTTTTCCATAATAAATATTCTAACATTTATATATATGTATATATAGTTATATTGGGGGCATGTTGATTATTTACTTAGAATTAATTTTCCTTGCTCTCTCACTTTTCATAAAAGAAGGCCCCAAACATGCCAGAGGGAGATTAATTTCTCATTTGAAATGGACATTATAATGTTCTACCTTTGGGACTAAGAAATTAAATTCCAAGAACTAAATCTGAATTATTTCCTGCCCTTACAAGCCAGGTTTTATTGGAATGTGACTATGTGCATTCATTTATACACAGCCGACTTCAGGCCCTAGGCTAGTCAGCCAGGGAAGTGCCTGCTCAAGACACCGTAGGGTATCAGGATGCGTGCCAAATTCAGAAGAAGAAAATTTTTGATCTCAGGCCTCACCAAACAAAAAATCCCTCTCACAATATGAAGATTCTACTTTTATCAAGGTTTGGTATTTTTTGCAAGAATATTTAAGGCTGGATAAGATTACACATTGATGCTGCCATTCAAAGAAAAGAGACTATGTTAATGGTTCAGGTAAAACCTTTGGAGTAGGACTTGACTGTAACGAAAAATATGACTAGGCAGATGCCCATCCATATCCCAAAAAGTTGGACTGAATGTGACTGTCTGTCAGAGGTCATTCAAAGAGGCCACAGGGCAGTGGAATGTTCCTTCTGCATGTCCAGAGCTTTTCTCCATACTCTGTATGGTACTAGTGAAAGACGAGTCTATAAGCACTAATACAGCTAGTGTAACCTTTGGTCAAGGACCTAGATCTATTCCCTTAGTTTAATCCTGTTATTTTGGAAAGAATTTTCCTGTGCCACTGGGAAGAACTGAGGAAAATATCTAGTTTCGAGATGATGTTATATGTTGGGAGGCTGGAGTATGCAATGTAAAGGCTGGAGGGCATCATCTCTTGTTATCATTATGACATGACAATGGATGGCAGGACCAAGGGAAGAGGCAGAAAGGCTATTAGACTGATTCCAGGATCATAGGATTTCTCCCCATGGGCAACTCTCATTTAGGGTTGTGGACCTAAGGAGGTTTTAATAGTTTATTTTCCTTAAATCTTTGTTTAGGTGCTTCACCTGGTGAATACTTGGTGATATTAGTCCTGAAGCACCCTGGAAAAATCCTGGTGAAATAAAAATCTTGAAAAAAATGTGGTTGGAGTAGGGCTTGGAAGAGTAAAAAACACCATGCAAAGTGAATAGAAAATTCCACAACTAAAGCCCATGATATTGCCTCTTCCCTCATGTGTAAGACAAGGGTCCAAATGCCAAAGAGACTCCTGAGTTAAGAGACAGAAAAGTGGGAAGAGAAATCGCCACTGATTTATGCTGGGAGTGAACAGCCATGACTGCTGCAATGAGTCGCCTGCCTCTTTCTCCTCGACATGTTGCTAGCAGGTCTGGATGAAATACCCAAAGCAACTTTTCCCTTAAACCTTGCTTCTTTCTGTTCAGTCTCTTACAAAAGACAAGACTACTAACATACAAAGTCCAATATTTCACTGGAAAATGTGCCTTTACTTACTTCCTTGGAATACCTTACTACAAAATAAGAGGAAAAAAATCACTCAAAAATACCAAAACAGATAATTATTAAAATTTTATATGAAGGATTCAAATAACTATCAAACCAAAACACAAAATGTGAATGTTTCTCTCCATACTGAATAGATATGTATGTAAACTCCTGGAGAATGCTTGGGTAATAGCCTTATTTTTACAGTGTGTGTGTGTGTGTGTGTGTGTGTGTGTGTGTTACTTTTCCCCTCTAGATTGTACAGTTTTTTGGAGATGAGAAGTAGAAACAACTAAAATCTGAAAACTAGCCACTTAACAAGTGAAAGTGGGTGAGTGGAGAGTAGAGGTTAAGAAAAAATCCAAGAATAGTGTATAGAAGTAACTCAGTTAAAGACACTATGTGTCTTTAAAGAAAACATTTTCAAAATGCATGAAGGACATGAGACAGCACTCCGTTATCCTCTAAGCATTCCAAAAGTTTTGAGATTTCCTCCACCTTCTTCCATTAACCTACCCCATTTGCAGAAACAATGGATCTTATTTATTTATTTAGTCCACACCTGGCCTGCAGGACAATTGAGGACTAAATATATGCAAGCCTTTAGCTTCAGAAAGAATGAATGGCACAACCATACAGGTACCTTAAAATCCTCTTGGCAGGATGCTATGGCAATAAATGTTTGATGGATTATAGTACTGGGGAAATTCAAAAGAAACCAGGGAAGATGGTGGCTACACTGACAAAGATTTGTCTAATGAAAGATTCAAAAAGCCTTGGATATCTTGATGAAGATACCTTGTACCTTCCCAGTGCAACTGCTCTAATGGAATTAAAGCGGGGCAGACAGAGGGCATCCATGACTTTCAGGATTGGAAAGGTTCACAACAGGCATAGAAAGAAAGTCTCATTTAAATGGACAACATTTTTAGTCAGTTGTTTTCTCAAGGATAGACTCATGTGTGCTCAGAGATTTCCCTAAGGTGGCTCACCAGATTGAAGGAGGGTTGTAGGAAGGGCTGGACTACGACAAGCCCCCTTCAGGAGCATCTAGAGAGGCGATGGCAGGTAATCATATAAGTGAGGGCAGGTAATCATATAAGTGAGGGCAAGAAAAGAACTAAGAAAAGAGAAGAGGGGAGGCAGAAGTAGAGTCTGATATTTTGCACCTCGAATAGGATTCCAAGTCTTCACTTGGATCAGACACATGTGAGGCCAGACTTTTAAAATTCCCCAACTGAACTGAAACAGAGGTTACAGAATTCAGCTTCCTTCAAAGTATGTTCAAGGTAAAGGCTATTTATTCTTGTTTCTCCAACAAACAATTCACTTCCTTCTATAGAAATCCATCTTCATAGATAGATATATGCTTTGAAGAGAAGAAACAAAGAAGCTTATTGCAGGTGGGAGTAATAAATTCAATACAAAGTTATATGTATGTCCAGAAAGGTATTGGTTCATGAAGTCTCCAGCAAGCAGTGTACAAAACATCTGTCAAGGATCTTTCCTCTATGTTCCATAGCACGTTATGTGCACTATTATTACAACAATATGAGCTTCCCTTGTTAAACTGTGAACTTCTCAGGGTCAAGAGCAAGATGCAGTTTCTATTTGTATATCCAATCCCTAGCACAACCCTTGGAGTGGTGGGCATTCAATATATATTTGATGAAGGAGCACAGAAAGAAAAGAACAGTCTATTCATTTTGATCACTGTGGTGGGCAGGATTGTGACAAAAGGCAAAAGTCAAGTTAGTGTCACCTGTGTTATTAGTAAAGAGAAAAAAAATGTTAAAATATTAGCCCCAGGATCCTTAAAATAAATCTCCAATGTGTAGTTGAGAGTGAACAGAAGAGGCTAAACTATTCATAAAAATATACCTAGAGAAATGGCAAATATCTATTTCTCTAGATGAATTCTTACAGAAATTATGGCAAGCTAGCCTATAGACACAATGAATGACATAGTTGGTATTAAATATATTTTAGGGTAAATAAATACACTGTCACTAGTATAAATTGATTTGTTTGATGGAACTAATATCAAGGAAATAGCTCCTTTAGAATGTGAAATTGCACAGGTATTTTTGGTTTTACTGTAAAGCAATCATATTCCAATATATTTTTGTAAATAGCAGTTACCAGAGCCTGAGTGTTATAGAGGAGGAGATTATGGAGGTCTAGATGTCTGGGGACATGCAGTCAGGAAACTTGACTACCGTAGTAAAAAAAGGTTGCTAAGGGATTCAAATGCTCTCAAAGTGGAGTTTTAGATTACAGTTTCTTGAAACACACGATTGAATAATTACATAAAACCAAATAGATCTTGGTACTTCAGAGGAAAGGCAGGCATAGTTAGCACTGATTTCCCATTTTAAAGTATGTTTTTGGTTTTGGAGGGTGCAGACTGCTTGCTTTTCAGAAACATCTGGTAAAAGTCATAGTGTTTTCAGGGGTTATGACATAATCCAACCCTGTATAAAATAATTCAGATTTAGCCCTGAGACTAGTTATAATGGTGAGGTGCAGAGTGCAGTGTTCTGACACGTGTCTTCTTTAGGTGTCAGGCATAGTAAGTGTGTGTATGCAGTCTGCGGCTGCTGAAAGGGTGCCACTGCAGTCTGTGGTGCAGATCTGGGAAGGGTGTAGCTTCCCTAAATTCTCCTCCCTACGAGAATATCTCCAAGAGCATAGAAGTAGATGAGACAGCATCTACTTTCCTAGTCCTCCATTTCTTCTACCAGCACCATGTCAGCAAAGTACAGCTATGGCTTCTTGGAGACTTGAATAAGGAAGTGTTCCAATTTTATTCCTCACACTTTTCTTTCTATTACATTAATGGAGATGCTTCCAGCTAAACACAGTACAAGTCATGGTGGCTTTTATTTCATGTGACACAGGAATATGTAGCCAAGCAAAAAGCTGACTTATAGTAGCCTTTTGATAGAAATAGAAATTCAACAGTGAAAACTCGGAAAAGGCAAGAAAGGGCAGGGGATGCCATATATAAAGAGCTTTCCTTTGTTATGCAATCATTCGTCTTAGAAAGCTAGAAAAATTTAGAAAATGGATTCTCCTTAGAATCAGTTGAAATTAAATTTACTATAAAAGCATAATTATATCCTAAAGGATGGAGTGATTAAGAATCCACACTAAATTTTAAGGAAAGGATATATATTTAGAAATTTCAGAATTGAGAAATACTATAACCAACTCAATCCTCATGTCACAAACTCTGAAGCTGGAAGAAAAGCTGCAGACTGGAAATGGAGTGCAGCTAGTAAGCTTCTCACTGTGAGCCTCCTCATCTAGGGGGAGTGTTAATCAGAGGCCAGAGACATGTTGACAACAAGGTGGACAGTCTGCTAGTTAGCTGTCAAGGCCGGCTAACAGTGATGTGGTAACTGTCTTGCAAATCAAATCTACCTTGTAAAGAGCAACAATAAGTACTTTCCACACCTGTTGATCATTCTGTTGACATTTATATTGTTTTCCTCTGGTCTTTTTTTTTTCCAAGGTGGAGAGGAAGAAAGTTAGGCTTATGCTACAGCAAAATCATCCGAGTTCCTGCTACCACCCATAGATAAGCAGTGAGGCCTTTTGAAGCAGTGAATCCCATGGTTTTGTTATAGAGGGCAAAGAGCCTGAGCTTTGTCACCACCTCATCTGGGAAAGTAAGTCTAACAAAAACTGTGTGTAAAAGGGCTACTATTACACACTTACATGTAACAGATTTGAAAAGGCGATGTGCTTCAGAATCTAAGGGCTTCTCTAAAATCAAGCAGTGGGTCAGATGGAGGTGACCACAATGCTACATATGTCAGTGTATCCTAAACCTCTGGACAACAGCTCCATTGTCAGAAGTTGGCTCATCATATCTGTTCTAAATCATGAAGCCTAAAAATCTGCACTCACTTTCTGTATCAAATCTTTTGTGACTGGATCAAAGGGAAGAATTTTGTTTAGTATTTCTCTTCTTTCATGAAGTTTTTTTTTTTATAAGCTGAGTTCAGGGGATTTAAGATTTTTCATGGAACCAGATACTATTTTAGATTTTTATTTAAATTCTTTATCCTGCATAACTTACAAGTGTATATCTATACTTATTTTTATCTCAGTATAATAATCTCAAGAAGTTAAAAAACATCTACTTCCTAGCAGCTTTCTTTACCTCCTATTTTCAAGCTACTATTCAATTCTTCCTCTAGGTTGATGCTATTGTGTGCTGGTCTACAGTGTTAGCCCCAGAAGACAGAAAGGCGCAAAGTAGCTGCTCACTACTATTTGCAAGCCTATATTTGAAAATATCCAGAGGGTGAAAGTAATAGTTTAAAAAAAAGGGTGATGAATGGGGCAAAGGACCACTTGTGGTAAGGAGATGAAACCAAAACAAACACACCTGTCTTGTGCTTCATAAAATACCATCGAAGCCAACCAGGCCTGAAGGGTATGTATCTGTCACCCTGGGTTTCCTGGTACAAATGGACTTGAGACACGGGGGGATATCAGGGATGACTGTTAAATGCCTATATCACAAAACTCAAGTTCAAAGTAAGACTGCGAGACAGTGACTGAAAAACAGAGTGAATTTCAGAAACTGGAACATAAGGCTAAACATGCCAATGTGCACACATGTGTCTCTTCCTTGTCTAGAACAGTAAAGTCTGTGCCTTGCATGATAATTTTCACTGAGGTGGATGTGTCAGAGAGGAAGGAGTGGCCATAGCTGCCTGGTCTCCTGAGCTGGGTCAAGTGGATCGATGCTGTAGCAGATGCAGATATGTTCCAAAAAACAAATGACAAGCAATTAAGAGAAAGAGAACAAAAAAATTAAAATACAGGAGAGAGAGAGGGAGAAAAAGTTAACAACTACAAAATGATTATTGGGTGGCCCTGCAGTTTCTCAGATGAAATATTCTCTTTTGCACTCGCTCACTGTGTTTTGCAAGTCAATATCGTTCCTGAAGGAGCTGTCCAAGTTCTCAGGGTACTCCTTCTCCTTCATCTGGTTAGTGCGAGGGGACTGCTTATGCTGGTACAGGAAGCGGATCATGATCCCAACTATGCAGAAGGTGATGAAGATCACCACTGCTATCACTCCTGCAGGAAAAGAGAGGGGAGGAGAAAACAGATGTCACAGGTCATTTCTAAGCAGAGAAAATTCAGGGTAGACAAAGAAGCACTTTCAGAAAACAAAACAAACACAACTCTGCCACCTGTCTAAAATTAAAGACTGCTGCAATGCATTCAGTGTTCAATTATTATAAAGACTAAAACATTTTCCTTAAGATCAGTGACAGAAAAAGCCAGGTTAAATCTTAGCGGGTTTTTTAAAATGGCCTAAAAATCATCTTACAAATATGCAATTGGAATAGAAAAGGACTTCTGTTTTCTGTTTGTTTTGTTTTGTGTGGGTGCTGGGATTGAACATAGGACTTTTCACATGCTGAGGAAATGCTCCACCACTGAGCTATGTCCCCAGCCCAGCAAAAGTCTCCTGGTAGTTTTTCAAGATCTTTAAAATATTGTGCTAAAATTATATGAATTAATATTTTTCACTGTTGTCATGCAACTAAGCCTTTTAGAATTCCCTAGAATAAAATATTTAAATGCCTTTTATCCCAATATATACTCCCTTATGTAAATTTGCCTTGTGTTATGTGTTTGTTTTACTAGAAAGGATTCATTAATCATGAAATGCTTACCAACAAGTTAGGGCATTCTTATACTGCTCTGTATTCTGCCAGACTTGAACAATTCAGAGCTGGCACAACTCTGTCCTTGTGAAACTCCTATTGGATGGAAATGACAGTTTCTTCCCAGTCTATCACATTCACCTTTACTCCTATATGATTTTCCTGGATCGATTCTATGAGTTGTCCTCACTGACTCTAAAGATTCACCCTTACTTTTGCCAAGAACTCTCTCGTGGGAAAAAAAACCAACAAAAAACAGTAAAACAAAAGGGTGGTAAAAATGTGAAAGAGGGAAAATGTGTCTACATAATTTTCAGCATTAAAACACTTAGAATTTTCAGCATTAGTAGAATTTCAGCATTAGTAGAATTTTCAGCATTAAAACGCTTAAAATATTTTTGATAGTCAAAGACCATTTCATTGTTAATAAACTGCAGATTCTGGTATTTCACTTTTCTAAGTAGTATAGTATTGATAAAATGTCTATTTTAGAAATATGGTTGGACACTTTGCACTATGATTTACATAGGCGTGGACAATGGAGACTTAAATACATTGATGGAATGTCTTCCACCAACTTTTTTATAGGGTTTGGAAAAAATTAAAGATTGCTTATATTTTTCTATATTCCTAAGTTATTATATAACACATTCTCAAATTACTTTAGAAAAAGCCAGAGTAAAACCACCAAAGTTAACACATCTATGAGTATGGGGTGGCAGTGAGTGACTCCTATCAGTGGGCTGCAGCTGTAAGGTAGGAAAGAGGAAATGGTTTCTATCCCTCTAGTGCATCAGTTATTCAGAACTAGATGCTGTACAAGCCTCTAGGAACTTGCCAGTAGGGTTAGGATGACTTTCCTACACTTAAGGAAACTCACAGAAGCATGCAAATGAATGGTGAAAAGTCAGCAGTCACAAAAGTCTTTTCTCCACTTGTCAAATGAAAAAGTACAGGAAGAGAAACTGGTACAAACTACTTTCTACATTTTCCTAGTGCCAACAAAAATTAAGTTCAACTGTCTTCCCTGAAGCAGAAATTCAGTTGAGGTTTCATGGACTTCCTTAATGAAAGGTCACTGTTCTCCTAATTTTTTAACAGCCATGGCGCACCTGGGGTCCAAGTGCATTGAGTGCTTTCTCCCTCCCAAGTCTTCCCTGCATCTAGTGCTGTCTGCCTGCTCATCCTTTCCCCAGCCAGGCTGTGAGTTCTACAGAGGCAGTGTCCATATCTTTCATCCTGTGTCCCTGCATTTAGCACAGGGCCTGACCCATAGCAGGGCACAGTAAATACAAGGTAAATGCATGGGTAGTGCCAGCTTTTAAAGGAGAACTCCACCTGGTGTGGATCAGTTCATCCACACTGCCAGAAGGCAGGGACAGGGTATCTGCTTGGGTGATGGGTCTCATATGAAAATGAATTTAGTCTCTCTCAGGCATCTTATAATAAACAAAGTTCGGGAGCCATTTTCTATTCCAGACCCAGATGGAAATATCAAGCTAAGGTAGGCAGCAGCCAATCTGAAGGCAGAATAAAAAGGGGAGAGGCCACAGTTGGAAAAATGGAAAAGGGAAGGAGGGAGGCAGGAGCTGAGCTGACAGTGGTACAGACAAGACCTTCACCTGTAGCCATATGTGTGCTGGATTTGGAACTGCAGTCCTGAGGGCTTCTCTCCATTCATTAAATCGAATCCAAATCACTTGGTAGAGAAAGACGAACAGGACTGTGGCTTTGCCCATCTGTCTGCCCCAAGGTAGCTTCTTCCCCTGTGTAGCTTTATTGGTCTGATTTGTTTATGCTTCAGGAAAAGGGACAACTGGATGAGATGAATAGGAACAGGCTGCCTGTCTGTAAGTGAATGAATGCTCCAGCCATTGACTCTGTGCTCAGCTGTCTGGTACATTAGAGGCAGGAAGAATTCGCAGATCTGCTGGCACAGGGGCAGGGCTTGTCTTTGGTCCTTTGGCATATGTGACTATTCCTGAAAGGCTTATGGTCTGGTAGACAATGTGGACTTCTGAACACTAGGTGGCCATAGTTAGAGAAGGCATCAGGTACAGGGTTATATATATCTTTTCTGCTTCCAACAACAAAGAATAGTTTACCTCCAATGACTGCAGAATCGCTTCGAACTGCGTTGGTGAGTGGTTCCCGCTCATCTGTTTTCCCAAAGGGATCTAAGAGGGGTAAAAGACATGAAATTTCAGTCTTCCTTCAAAGCACTGGAAGAGAGGATACATGTCTGTTGGCTGTACCATGTACTCTCAAATAGTTGGAATTGGTGTTTTGGGAGGATCCCAAACAAAAGTGAAAACATCTGAAATAAACTGCTCCCAACCTAGAGATCCAAGACTTGCTAGCTAATATATATTCAGTAGGGTAAAGAACGGAGTCAGATTCTGGAAGTTGCTGGGCCATATGCCCTCAGCCTTTCCCTGAGGTCCTCCTGGGCTTTGGTGGACAGTTTCTGTGCATGACAATGGATCCTACCTCAATCATAGGGGCCTCTCTACTTAAGTGTTTTCCTCAATTGCAAGAGGATTCTGAGACCACTGGCAAAGGAAAAAAGTGCTGGAGAATTAACATCCCCAGGAATAGCCCTCACCAAGAAAGCAATTGTACTGTGTGTCCATTAGCATACATGGTACAAATACAGGCTATGTATCTTACTCAATACAGTACAAGAAAATACAAAGCATCAAATTCTGAGACACATAAGTCTCGTTCTGAATATTTGTTCTAACATTTGGTGGACTACGGACGTTGCTCAAGATCTATTTTTTAAATAACAATTTGCACATGCATTTAAAATGGGCTGTAGGACCAGGGATCTAGCTCAGTGGTTCTGTCACTTGCCTCACAAGCGCAAGGACCTGAGTTTGATCCCTGGTACCAAAAAAAAAAAAAAAAGGGCTGTAATATGTATATGTTTGTGTATAATACATATAAAATTCTAGCTGGTAGATATTACACATCTAATAAATAACAACCATCATTATTATTTATCATTTAATCCTCAGGAAATGACAAAGAGTAATTTTTTGACAGAAAAGACAACATGATTGAAGACATTACAAAATTTGCTCAGTGTCAGAATATAGACTAAGGTATCTACCTCTCCCATTCAGGCTCTTTCTACCATATTCCACGGTGACCAGAAAAACACCAAGGTGAAAAATGAGAACATAGAAGAGAAGAGGAAAGGTAGTATGGGAGAGAAAATGTATGGTGGAAGATGTTGGAAAACACAGAGGCAAGGAGTAAGGAAGGAAAGAAGGGGAAAAGGAGGAAGGGAGACAAGAAAGGAAAGAAGGTGAGGGAAGGAAGGAAGAAGGAGCAAAGGAAGCAAGGAATCCCTGAGCTAAACCCATTGAGTAATTATTCCATTTCCTATGTCCTCAAAAGCTTATTATTCTTGTCTACTCCTGTCCCAATCCTCCTTACTGGAATTCTTCCTGCCTCTTTATAAATATACAAATTTCAACTACCCATCAGGGTTCATATCTTGGCTTTTTCTTACTCTAATTTACCTGGGTTCCTCCTTTACCACTTTTTAACATTATAAGCCAATGTTGCCTTGATTTTAACCCAGATTTCTCCATCTCTAGAATATTTTGATGTTATTAGATTAATGTGTATCAATTCAGTTTATTAATTCTAATTCCCTAGTGTTTATTTAAGCTATAGATAAAACTTTCAGAACTGATAAGATGACTGCATCAGAAACATGATTAGAAACACACATACACACACACTGCTTCTATACATGCTTGAGGAAGATTTTCTGCAAAGTAATCCTGAGTGTGATGACCCATTTATTTCAGGAATGTGCCCTATCTTCGTAATGTGTCTTTTCAAACCCTACAGTGATATTTTAGCTTTAACAATCCTTACCCACAAACAAATGCCTTAACTTAAATACTTAGTCACATCTCTACATCTACATATCCAACCAGCTAAATTTTACATACATAAACATTTCATGGGAACTTCCTATGTTTGCCTTTTTGATAATGGCCATCCTAATGGTAATTTTGATTTGCATTTTGCTGATTATTAATGATTTTGAGCACCTTTTCATATATATCTACCAGTCATTGTACAGCATCTTTAGAAAAATGTCTACTCAGACATTTGGCTTTATTTTAAATGGGTTATTAGTTTGCTGTATGAGTTCCTTGTATATTTTGAATTTTAATGTCTTATCACAGGTATTTTGTAAATATTTTATCCCATTCCATAGATTCCCTTTTCATTTTATCATTTCCTTTGCTGTGAAGAATCATTTTAGCTTGATGTAGTCTCATTTATTTTTTATTTTGTTGTCTACATTTTCTTTTTTCATCATATCAAAAAAGTCATCTTCCCCAAAGAATTAAAACAATCATACCACAGTGATATATGTGCACCCATGTTCATAGCAGCACAGTTTGTAATAGCTAAAACTTGGAAACAGCCCAAATGCTCATCAACTGGAGACTGGATAAAGAAAATGTGTTTTTTTTTATAAAATGGAGTAGTACTCAGCCATAAAAAATGAGAAATTAGAGACATTTATAGCTAAGTGGATGCATATTGAGGCAATACTCTTAAGTGAAATAAATAGGACACACATGTGTAAATACCAAATAGTTTCTCTGGTGTGAGGAAACTGAAAGTGTAAATAAGAACAAAATGTATAATAGGTAATGTGAAATAGGAAGAAAAGAGGCAAAGGGGAAAGAAGTGGGAGGGCTAGGGGAAAGGATAGAAGGGAATGGGATTAATATGAGAAAATGGAAAAATAAGAACCAAATCTTTGTAAATAGGGAGGACTGGAGGGGTTGAAGGGAGGGCTGGGCAATGGTGAAAAATAAGAACCAAGAGAGACTATGTAAAGGTGCAAATTTCCAATGATGAATGTCATTATATTGTATACCTAAAATGTCCCAATGATTAGAATGAATAATTGATAATGTCAAATAGGAAGAAAAGGTCCAAAGGGGTAGGGGTAGTGGGAGGGGCAGGGGAAAGGAAAGAAGGGAAAGGAAAAAATGATGAGAAATGGAAAAAATGGAAATAAAGTCTTTGTAAATAAGGAAGGGTGGAGGGCATGAAGGGAGGGCTAGGAATGGGGAAAAAATAAGAACCAAGATGCATTATATAAAGGTACAATTGCCAATGAGAAATGTAATTGTGTTGTATACCTACAATGTACCAATAAAAGAATTTAATACAAAAAAAAATCACTCCCAAGACTAAGGTAAAGACATTTTTCTGTACGTTTTCTTCCAGAAATTTTATGTTTTCTATCTGAAATGTAAGGCTTTATTCTTCATTTCAAGTTAAGTTCTTTATATGATGATGAAAAAATCAAATTTCAGTATTTTGGATCTAGATATCTAGTTTTTCCAACATCATTTATTTAAAAAGTTGTTCTTTCCCCTTCATGTATTCTCATAATGCTTGTGAAATATTAGTTGAGCATGTATAACTGGGCTTATTTCTGTGCTCTCTACTCTGATGCATTGGTCTATATGCTAATTTTTGTGCCAGTTATCACATTATTTTGGTCAGTGTGCTTTTATAATAGAGTATAAGGTGAAATCAGGGTACAGGTTGCCTCTAAGATATCTATACCCCCATACTCATGCCAGTATATGAATATTTTAGTATTCAAAGTATGGAAATAACCCGTTTGTCAATGGATGAATATATATAGATGTACATATATGTGTGTATGTATGTATGCATGTATGTGTTTGTGTGTTTAATGTGGTATGTGTATATACAAACAAAATGAAATATTATTCAGCCTTGAAAACATACTAACACCATTTGCAACAACAACAGAGATGAAAATAGAGGACATTATATCAAGTGAAATGAACCAGCCACAGAAAGAAAGGGAAAGACTACATGATTTCATTTATACATGGAATCTAAAGTCAGCTAAATTCATAGAAGCAGAGAGTACAATGGTGATTGTTGGGACATAAGATATAGAGAAACTGGATGATTGACTGATAAAATTCATAAGCTCTGAGTTATAAAATGAATGTGTTTTGCTGATCTAATGCAATATACTACAATTAATCATACTGGATTTTTTTCTTGAAATTTTCTAATAGCCTAAATCTCAAGTGTCCTCATGAGAAATATACATAAACACAAGGGTAACTATGTGAGGTGATGGATGTGACTATCAATTGCATTGTTATATCATTACATATTACATATGTATACCAAATCATCACATCATACATCTTGAGTATGCACAATTTTTATTTTTAGTTATTCTTGGTAAAGTTGGATAATTATGCTGATTATCATAATATATGAATTATATTAGTTCAGCAACCAGTCTCCTGCCTCCCTAACTCCTAAATAATTTAATTCTCAGAACAGTAGCCACTTAAGTAATAGTGACTACATACAAATACAAACATGCATATACTATGTATATATGTATGTAATTTAAGCAACCATGCTTTTAATTCTAGTTGCTTCTCATATGAAGATTAAGAGCACTCATGGGAAGCCAGCAATAATTTGTAATCAGCTGTAAGCATGGAAGGGAAGGAACTGAGTAATACTGACTGAGCTTTTAAGCTGGAGATTTCTGGAATACACCAAAAGTGTGCTACTTCAGGAAGTTCTATTGAGCACTCTTTGGACCAAACCTGATGAAGAATGTACAGTGGTCACAGCATCCACATCTGAATCCACCATGAAGCCACAGCTGGATTCTTTCAAGGTCCCATGTACAGTCACAGGTGCAATGTTGGCATGACGCAGGGCTGCCTTCAGCGGTGCTATGTGATTGTACTGGACTGAAGATAGACATCCAACAAAGCCCACGGTGTTTGCTTTAGCAATTTCAGAATCCAATCCAATATTCTCTGCAATGAAAAAGACAGTCAGAAGGCTCTCCTCCAAAAACATGCTATGTGCCCTCTTTGAGTACTGAATAAGATAACAAAATTATTTTCTCATCCTTTGAATAAAGAAAACACTCCTGCTATCTCTTTTCACCTCCTCTCTTCAACTTCATCCCATTGCAAGAATCAATATATCAACCATACTTCCTAGGAAACTGGTACTGCCCTGTCTGCTTTGAGATTAAAAAAAAATACTTCAAACTTCTACATTTCATGTGCATATTTTAGGAACTGTATAAAAGACAGTGAATTAGTTATATACACTAGATGTTTGATAGAGTTTGTATCATTTTCTTCAGCACCATTTGCCTATGGATGTAGATCATTAGTGAACCTTCCAACACTTCCCCCAAAAATGCCGCAGAAGAGGGCTGGGGATTTAGCTCAGTGGTTCTGCAGCTTGCCTCACAAGCACAAGGTCCTGAGTTTGATCCCTGGTACAAAAAAAATGCAGCAGAAGAAAAAAAAAGGATAGACAGATAAGGTTAGAAGTTGCAGTCATTCTCCCAGAGTTTTACCCTGTTCTTTGTTTGCAAACATTTGTACCGACTGACCTAGTCAAAATTTCTCATTGTTCTGGTTCTGTCCATGATACTCACTGATGAGAAAGAAACTTTTTTTGGATAGCATTCAATTTTCCAAAGAAGTGTTTAATCTTTATAAAAGATGATGCAACTATTTGCAATTCTCAACAAGATAATATGTGTCATTCTTTTCAAGATTTGTGGTAATATTATTTTGTGTTCTGTTTCTTTCTCTTAAAATGGTCATTTGAATAAATTGCTACAATGCAATTAAATAAAACTGCAATACATTATGCACCATTTTAAAGATATTATACTTTTAACATGACTAGATGGCTCAAATGGTTATTTTATCTGGACAATCCTTTTATTTCCTGGAACAGGGTCAGGGATTTTCCTATGTACCAGCATCCCTTATAATTTTGTTTGGATTTATAAATTGTCAGGATGTCTTCATTGATTTCTAAGCTGTATTCTGTTGTTAGCATTAAGGAAATGGAGGACGTGGTAGAAAATGAAGATTTAACATCTTTTATAAATACTTTCTTTACTTTTTGCCCTCATTTTACTCTGCCCTTCAACAACCATGTAAAATTGACCAAAATATCATCTCTTATAGGAGAAGACAGTAACTATGTATTATAATTTTATTTGACTGCTGTAAGAAATTTCCACAAACTTAAACACTTTATGCTAAAGCCTTTTAAACTTGAAAGTATTCTCTTTAATTTAATTTAGGTTAGAATTCTGGCACAGTCATTATGAGGCTAAAGACCAAGAGGTCAGGAAGACTCCATTTCTTTGACAGGTTTTGGGGATAAAACATGTCTTTCCCATTTTTAGCTTCCATGAGTCGTATGACTTCCATGGCTCACCCTCCTTTGTCTGTCTCCAAGAAAAGCAACTTTGCTTTTCTCTGTCCCTTTTTATCATAGTCACATTTGCCTATAAGTCTTTTCTTTTGACTCCCTTTTTCATTTGTAAAGAATCTTGTGATTACAATGGATTTATCCTGATAATCCAATAAATCTCAGTATTTTAAGTGCAGATTGTTATAAATATTAATTTCATTTGCAACCTTAATTCCTCTTTGCCCCATAGCCTAATACACTCTGAGAACCTGGGAATGAGGACAAGGATATCTTTGTGAACCATTGTTCTGCTTATGATTCCATGTCTGATGTTCTGTAAGGATGTTCTGGACCATACTAATGAAGATCTGATATGATATCACTTTTCTTCAGGTATAAAAGAATCTTGGAGTTTAAGAAGAAAGCATCAACTTCTAAATATTCAATAAATATCCTACAGTCATGTTATATATTTATTACCTTCTATGGAAAAGATCACATATATTTGTCATTGTGAGCTTTAAAACAGTGCCCCTTATGAGATTTCTCACACATGGTTACATAATAGCCTTAAAATCAAAAAGCTATAATAGACTGGAGGCTATTAGCTCATGTCACGAGGACTCAGTGTACCCAGCTATGATTATCAATATGCACTGATTCGCAACTAGCAAATGGTATGATTTGAGATCAAAATATTTAGAGGAAGAAGCCAAAGACAGGAGAAAAGAAGCATCCTCTGTGTAGAGCTTTTGCACCATAGAGATTTAAAGCAGTGGAAAGTGCCACACATTCTAGCTATGCCTAGCGGCCCTCCGTCAAGTGTGCCAAGTTGCATTCTCAGAACTCAGTTGGAAAGAAGCCTATATTGGTGCCCAGGACTTAGGAGGACTTCACCATAGTGACTCAAGAACAAAAGCTCCAGGCACGATTGTAGGCACCTGGATAAGAGTTAGGTGAAATGCCAGAAAAATGTCACTCTCTCCTTAAAGGAAGCAATATGTTTGATAAAGTCTTATCTCTAGGGAAATATTTTTGTTCTACATTATATTAAAAAGGGAGACTGAGGTGTTTCTGGAAAGAAATAAAGTGAACAAAAATGTCTAATGTGAGGAAAGAACTCTCATTATGAGCCCTCAAGATTATGATTTCTTAGATTCTCACCTAAAGGAGAGGTTAAAAAATTATGTGAAATAGGAAGAAAAGGGGCAAAGGAGAAGGAAGTGGGAGGGGTAGGGGAAAGAAAAGAAGGGAATGGAATTAATATGAGAAAATGAAAAAATAGGGACAAAATCTTTGTAAGTAGGGAGGAATGGAGGGGTTGAAGGGAGAGTTGGGCAAGGGTAAAAAATAAGAACCAAGAGAGATTATGTAAAGGTGCAAATTTCCAATGATGAATGTCATTATATTGTAATGATTAAAATGTCCAATGATTAGAATGAATAATTGATAGTGCAAAATAGGGAGAAAAGGTCCAAAGGGGTAGGGGTAGTGGGAGGGGCAGGGGAAGGAAAGAAGGGAAAGGAAAAATGATGAGAAATGGAAAAAATGGAAATAAAGTCTTTGTAAAGAAGGAAGGATGGAGGGGGTGAAGGGAGGGCTAGGAATGGGGAAAAAATAAGAACCAAGATGCATCATGTAAAGATACAAGTTCCCAATGAGAAACGCAAATGGGTTGTATACCTAAAATGTACCATTAAAAGAATTTTTTAAAAATTATGATAATTCCAAATAATTTTTACTTCTTATAATAGTATTAAATAATATGTGGTATAATAATAATAGATAAAAAGTTAAATAAGTAAATAATAAATTAAAAGTTGCAAAATATCAGCATTCCCTGTTCATTGAGTAGCAGCTATATATTTCTGTGATAATTGATTTTTAAAGTATTTTTTCTGTTTACCTCCCAATCTCTTCCAGATATTTTTTGTTATACTCCAAAATGTATAGGTGAAGCAACTCAGGGACTAAAAGAAGTTAATAGACATTACGTTATAGAGTTGAGATTTCAATCTAAGATATTCCATACTCCTCATCTAAGCAATGCTGCTGCCCCCAAAAAATGAAAAATAGAAACCTCAAAAACATTTCAGAGTAATTTTACATTAATTATCTAAAAGAAATAGACTGAAAAACTAAGGAAAGTATGTTATTTTGGTAGAACATTTTACGGAATTCACTGAACTCTACATTAAAGACAGCATATTTCCCAATCCATTTAATTCCGTTTTCAAGTTACAGTTAAATTATGTTCATAAGGAGAAAGATGAGGGAAATATTTGATGTGCTGAGCTGGAAAATGAATAACAAAGCCAAACTTAACAGTTCATGTGGCTTCTCAGAAACTTACAAATGAGGATGCAAAGATCCCACCACTGAAAAATACCTGTATTCTCTTTTTTACTCTTCCCAAGATAAGCTAATATATGAAATTTCCAAACAAACAAGCATAGTTCCGGGTTTCTCTGGCTATTTTGAGAAGCAACAGGTTTCTTTTAAGAAAAACTACCTCATTTCCAAATGTCTTATTTAATATAGACTTAGTTTTTATCCCTCCAAACACACTTTAAATGCTAAGAAAGCACATTTTCTGATATCCTTTATATTCTAGATCATTGCATTTAAATCCAGATGCAGAAAGCAGTATGAGATGCTGATATGTTATAGGTGGAAAGGCAGACCTGAGAGGGTTAACCATGCTCATGTACATATAACTTCTGTTTCCCCATAGCTGAGCAGCAAACATTTTCCCTGACACATGAACTGTATTTAAATACATATAAGAAAACTATAATTCATAGTTTTGTCCCCATACAGACTTGTTAATGGGATTTTTGCTCATTTATATTAATATATAGCTTGTGTCTAGATGTCACCCTAAAGCCTCATGTGGTCATTGGTGGGGCTTTTCATAAGTGTCTGGATCTAGAGTGTGTGATGCTGGGATTAAGGATGTGATTCTGAGATTGATTCATGGTATGATGCTAGGATCAAGGGTGCCGCACCCTCTGTGTGAGTACTATCTGTCCTAAGGGCTGCTGTTGTTGCTGCTTGTTGCTTGCTGCTTGCTGCTTGCTGCTGTTGCTTCCTCACTTTGGTGCTTGCTGCCTTCAGCCTGCCATGAACTGTTTCTCCTCAGTGATGCCCCTCAATCATGTCACACTGCTTTGTGGCCACCCAACTATGAACTGAAAGCTCTATAAACTGGGAGACAAAATAAACCTTTCTTCCTTTAATTTGGATATTGGATATTTTGTCTCAGCAATGAGAAAAAAAATTAGATACAATATGCATTATGGGATGCTAAATCAATCTATTTGACATATAATCTCACATATTTACCATTTTTTGCGGTGAGAATACTTAAAACATATTCTTTTAGTAATTTGCAAATATACAGCATATTCTTCTTAATTGTAGTCACAAAGGTGTTCAATAGATTTCTTTTTTTAATTAATTGTTTTGGTACATTTTAGGTATACAATATAATGGCATTAATCATTGAAAATTTGCACCTTTACATAATCTCTCTTGGTTCTTATCTTTTCCCCCTTCCTCTGCTCTCCCTTCAATCCCTCCATCC